TGATTTTTATGTATTCCATCTGGTGAAGTCCATGTGTATAGTTGTCTCTTATGCTGTCTAAAGAAGGTATTTGAAATGAACAAATCATTAATTTTTCAGAATCCTAGCATGTGTTCGCCAGCATAATTTCTATCACCAAGGCCATATTTTCCAACTACTGATCCTTCCTCTTTGCTCCCAACCTTTGCATTCCAATTACCAGTAGTGATCAATACATCTTGATTGCATATTTGATCAATTTCAAATTGAAGAAGTTGGTAGAATTCTTCTAATTCATCCTCACTGGCTTGAGTGGTTGGTGCATAAATTTAAATAATAGTGGTATTAACTGGGCTTCCCTGTAGGTGCATGGATATTATCTTATCAGACAGCGCTGTACCTTATGACTGATCTGGATATGTTCTTTTTGACAATGAACGCGACACCATTCCTCTTCAACTTGTCATTTCTGGCCTAGTAAACCATGTGGTCGCCAGATTCAAAATGGCCAATACCAGTTCATTTCAGCTCACTAATGCCTAAGATATCGCTTTTTATGCATTCCATTTCATTTTTGACAACTTTCAATTTTCCCAGATTCATACTTCGTACATTCCATGTTCCGATTTTCAATGGATGTTTACAACTATTTCTCTTCATTTTGAGTTGTGCTCCATCAGCAAATGAAGGTCCTGTGGGCTTTTTTCCCACTGGCTTTACTTCATTCACGTCATCACGGTCAACTCTATTTTGAGGAGGCAGCTCCTCTTCCCCAGTCGCATTTTGAGTGCCTTCCAACCTGAGGGGCTCATATTCCGGCACTATATCTGACAGTGTTTCTCTGCTGTTCGTAAGGTTTTCACTGACTAAATATTAGGAAGTAGTTTGTCACTCTTTCTTCCTAGTCTGTCTTTGTCTGGAAGCTCATCTGAAACCTGTCCACCATGGGTGACCCTGCTGGTATTTAAAATACCGGTGACATAGCTTTCAGAATCACAGCAACCCACAAGCCACCACAGTACAACAAACTGTCAAGACGAGTGGTGTAGGGCCTGGCAAATGCAGCTTGCATGAATGAATGAATGAGTGAGTGAGTGAGCGAGCTGGATGATCAGTTCACATCCCTAAGAGGACTGAGTCCGGTAAAGGCCAGTGGTGGAAGATGACCCAACAAGTTAACAATTATGGAGACTTTACCTAGAGACAGTTATGATGGGGGCGGTGCTACGACCTCCATTTTACAGGTGAGGAAACTAAAGCTGAGGGAAGTGAGGTCAGAAAGGCAAGTGCATAAAGTTTGGAGGCTCCCTAACATCTCCCAGCTCGGGTTCATTGGTCCTAGACTGTCCTCTGCATCCCCCTCATCCAATGCTTGAATTCTTTCCCCAATATACCAAAGGGAGACCACAGGTTTCTGTCTGAAGTCTTCAGTTGGTGCTTCAGCAGCCTCTCCCAGTCATCTTGAGTCAGCTCTACAATAGAAGTTCTTCTCAAGGTGCTTAATTCTCTCCCTTAGAGATTAGCAGGCCAACTGTCTCCCTCTCTGGCTTTCAGGAAGACACTGGGGGCCAAGAAGGAGGTTTACTGGCTGAGGGTGGACAAGCTCCATCTCAGTCAAGATCATCTTCCATCACTTGAAGAGAGCACTTTTCATTTCTTTCCTTTTTCAGAGTAGTGACCCATTATGGTGGGATGATCTTAGGCTTGGATACCAGGAAATTGCTTTTTAAATCTTGACTCTGCCAACTGAATGGACAGATAACCATCTTTCTCTGGCCTCCTTTCCCTCAGCTGTTGAAAGGGAGTTGGCTTTTCTTCGATCTTCCATTGTCCTCCTTCCTTCCTCAGGCTACCTTTTCTCCAGTCCTTCCCTCCTCTACCCTGACCCCATGCTACTGCTTAAGACTACTTAGACTGCTTAGACTCCCACGGAGCCAAACAACGTATGGTCTTCTTGGTGAGCCCACTCCTTTCACCACTCAAATTCTGTCTTGTTCCCGCTTTTAAAACGCTGCCCTGACCGGGTCACCTGCATTCCCATTGGCACCTATGTTCGTGATGGTTCCTGGTCAGCTGGAAATGGAAGAGTTCTCAGAACTGACTTTTGGGGCCTGCCACCAGCATTTCAGCCACAGACGATTAGTATTTCCCAATATAGTTCTCTAGTTTTAAATAGCCTAACCTTTTTATTCCCCAAAGCCTGTCTGTGTTTTGATATTGGTGGCCCTTCACTTTCCTTTTAGCACAGAGAAGCTTGATTAGATGGTAAGAGACAGCATCTCAGCTAGTATGCCAGTGGTCAAACATTTATTTGATCAACTCTCCCAGCCTACATCAGGGTCCCTCCTAGACTCTCCTTTAGTACCTGCCACTATCTCTGGTAGTGTAGTGGTTACGAACTGGGCTGCGAACCTCAATGTAAGCAGTTTGAGATTATCCAGAGAAAGATGAGGCTTTCTGCTCCCATAAAGATTTACCGCCTTGGAAACCCTGTACAGGGTTGCTATGAGTCAGAACCAACTCCACGGCACATCACGACAATGACAATCCATGGTTAGGGATCTGTGGGATTATCTGTTCAATGTCATTAAATTGGCTGACACCCTAATGGCAGGAACTGTCTACCTTGTCTATGATGTGGCCTCAAAACCTTGTGATGCATGGGACTCCAATAGTGGCCTTCTGAATAACAGCACCGGACCCTTCAGGAGACCCTAGCTCTATCCTATGGGTATGCTCTATCCTCCAGAAGTCAGCCTCTGCCCAGTATGAACTCTAGCACTCCACAGAGCACTGAGTGAAGTGCTCTACACACGCTAGCTCCAGGGAGAAGGAAGAAGTCAGGGAAGGCTTCCTGACAGAGGCACTATCTGGGTTCATGTATAAAGCTAAAACACACTGGCTGCCCTGCAAGTACACTGCCACTTTCTCAGAGCTCAGCCACCTTCAAGTGTGCCCAGGAGAACCCTAAAGTATGGGAAGACAGGGTTCCTAGGATGTTAGACTGGGAAGGCTGTATTTGCTCAAAAACCCCATTTTATAAGGATGTGCACTGGACTGTAAAGTCGGTTTGAACCACAAAATTGGTAGTTCAAGCTCACCAATCACTCCTCAGAAACCCTATACAGGGTCGCTAAGGTCAGAACCAACACGATGGCATTTAACAATGCCATGGGCAGGGCAGGGCTGGGGTCAGTTTCTAATGTCTGGGCCTAGGTCTCATGAGGTCTTATGATTACTGGGCATCATCTGAGTGACCATTTTCCTACTAGGCACCACAATGACCACTGGTACTGCAGAGTGCCATTTCTGTAAGGCTGAGGTACCCGTACTCTTTTCCATTAGAGGTATCTACTTTCCATTTTCCTGAAAGGCGAGTGCCGAGTGGTGGATGGTTTTGCCTTGACCAGGTGGAACACACACTGAGTAGGCAGAATGTTTGTTGACTTGGCAATCCCTTTGGGAGGGGGTGGGCTGCAGGCTCCCTGCTGGAAAGGGTCAGAAAGCTTTTAGAGGAAAGCCTGTTTGTGACTCCTAAACAGGCTTGAACTAAGAGAGAAAGCTGCTTTCTGAGGGAGAGCAAGAAAAGCAGTACTTTTGGCTTCATTTATCATCCAGGTGTCTCTGCGGGCTTGTTTGTTTTGTTTGGGGAATCTGTAATAGCCTATTAAGTCTTCCCACTAGGCTAGGATCATGAGTTCCTGGCGTTTCAGACCTGGGTATTGCCTCTGAAACCCTATATATACAAGCCTAGTATACAAGGTCTCAACGTTTGCGAAGCCAGCCATTCCTTCCACATGGACGACTCCAGCTTGTGAAGACTTTCTAACAAAACTACCAGTAGAGTCAGAAATGAAGAACTCAGATAAAAGTGAAAAGATAATCAGACAGGAAAGACTCGACAAATGTGGTCAATAAAAATTTGGGTCTTTTAAAACACCCCTAAAACAAACAAATTTTCAGCAAAGTGAAGAAAAGGCACCAAAAAGCAATGCTAGGAATGAAAGGGGATAAAGTGACAATAGGGCTTTAGAAGATTAAAAAAAAAAAAAAAATTGCACACAACTTTAAAGCAATAAAGTAAAAATCTAGGTAAAGCAGGTGATTTTCTATGAAACAACCAAAGCCCTCTCACAACTGTTGTTTCAATAAAGCCTGTGCCTTGCACATGTGTTGTTCCTGTTATGTTTTTGTTTTTTAAATGTTTTATTGTGAATTATGTGATAGTTTACATGGGAGAACATTAGTTTTACATTCATCCTATCGTATATCGTTTCATTGCCATGGTTACAGTCTCCTCCATGCATCATCAACCAACCAAAGGGTATACATACACTACAAGCCTGCACCCTGGTCATCAGCACACAGCCCCTCTCCCTCTCTGGGTCTAGAGTCCTCAGCCGCTCCATCTCTCCACGTCATCTCCTGCTATGTTTTCTAGGAGGAGGAGAGATTCAGAGGTGGATACCAGTTCAGGGTCCTGACAAGTTACCCTGCATTGTCTCAAAGGTCAGGGTCACTGGAGGATGTGCACATTGACACCATGGAACCACACTACTCTCATGCTTCTAGCCATCACCCTAAGTCCCCTGGCTGGATGGCTAGCCTTATTTATTTTTCCACTTGAAATACTATAAGGGGTTTCACTTTATTTTTACTTCAAAAGCAGCACCATAAAAATCCTTGATGATTATAGCTCCAGCTGTCTTAAGTTGTTTGTCAAGAGATCAGTTACTCAAATCACCTATGGAGGGAACTAGTTTCAGGCAGAAAGCCATGGGAGCTGAGAAACACGAGTGTCTCATCTCTGAAAACTTCTCAGACTCCCTCCTATTCACTGCCTGGCCTGCCCCCGTCTCCCCTCCCCCAACCCAACCATCTGCTCTCCAGCAGATCAAATTTTCCCACTAAGGTACTCTGGCGCCAAGGACTCAACCTCTCCATGCTAGCCCGTACCCCCCACCAACTTAGAAATCCAACACCACGACCCAAATGGACTGTAGCCACATAAAACCACAAAGTAAAGTTTATAAAGCTTTATTAAACAGTTCAAACAGCTGTGCAATGAACACACCAGAAATAAAAGCTCCGAATAGCAGTCCAAGTGCTTCACAAGTGTGGCCTCGCAGTCCCATTCCCTAGATGGAGTGCCTCCGGTTCTGTCCTCTGCCAGGCCCACCTCCCTCCCGTGTCAGGCAAGAGAAAGATGGATGGTTCTGACAGGAGGACAGCCATGCTGATTCCCAGTGGACAGGGGCCAGGAGAAAAGTCTAGTATGCCAACACTTGTAACTGAAGCGCAGAAAAAGGAAAAAGCAAGCGACAGTCACAGAGTCTTCCTGTGAATTCTTCATAAGGTACAGTCTATGTGCACAGGAACGAAGCTCCCAGCGTGAGGACAGTGGTCACTGTGCTCCTCTGTCTCGTCGGAACCACCTTGAAGTCGAGTGTGCTGGTCACTCTGTAATCCCCACGCTAAATAAAAACTGCAGCAGCACCCACCATAACTAGCTATTGCTAAACCTCAATATCAGAACACATTTGATAAAGCTTCTTTAAAAGGAATATACACATGTATTTGTAGACACACACACAGGGCACACCAAAAAAAACATCCAAACACCTACCAAAGGGATCATGGCCATTATGAAACACATGTATTCATTCTCCCACCCACTCAGCTGGGGACTGCTAGGTCTATGTGAGCACACCATGCCTCAATCCTGCAGAGCATGCATGAGAGGCACAATGAGACCCCCACTCCTCAGGACGGTCGAGAAAGGCGGGAGGAAGGGCAAGGGAAGTGAGGCTGAGCTGCAAGTCATGAAACTGGACACCCAGGTGAAAAAGCAGCATCTACCTGTTGCTTCTTTCTGAAAAATGAAGTGGAGAAAATACTGGAAATTTGTGGTCAACCAACAGTCAAGACATATTTCTGTCTAGGCTGCTGACAAAGGGGGAAAAGGGGGGAAAAAGCGAGGCTCTCGGGCGTCAGCAATCTCTTCAAATTCGAGATAAGTGCAAAAGTGAGCTCTGTCTTAGACAGGTGCTCCCTCAAATAGGAGAGAACGAAAGGGAAACCAGGAGAGGGATTAAGGAGGCAGTACCATTGTGGGGAGGGAAAGAAGGAGACCCAGACAAGAAAGGGTCACAGAGGTGACAGTGAGACTGGCATTTTATCCGCCCAGGTCACCCCAGGGCTGTTGACCAGGATGGACGCAGACTCCTCGCAGGAATAAGGCGAGGTGATTGGCCATCCCACCAGCTGGAACCAAGAAGGGTACAGAACACACACAACCACAAGACCATCCACGACTACAGGACTCTACATTAAAAGCACCGGTCAGTGCTATTATTCACATTATAAGGATAAAACATTACAGGCCAAAAAGGCGCTGTCAGGAATGTGGCACCCGCAGGGCTGCGGGATTTTAAACTCCAATGCTTTATAACCTATGTCAATGCCTCCCCTCCCGTCTTCTGCTTCTTGGAAAGCTAACTAGGCGGGCTGTTAGGTGCCCACAACACCAGGGTCGTGCGCCGAGTCTGGAAGCGGGGAATCGGAACAGTGGTACAGGAAACAGTTCCCCCAGCAGCTATAGCAGATGAGGAAGAGGGCTGCCAGGAAAACCAATGCACAAATGGTGCAAGGCTTTCGCTCCAAGAGGAAGCTGAGCAGGTAGAAACCCATGAACATGGAGTGGCTGAACCACAGGGCGGGGTTGAGAGGCTTAGGGATGAGGAGGACGGGCAGCAGCCACTGGAGGCAATACATGATCTCTGCCGGGCAGGGCCTGCGCCAAGGCCACCGGGCACTGCTGCGGGAACCGACCTAACGGGAGTCAGCAAGCGCAGGCGGCTGCCCTCTGCTGTCTTCAACCCTCACTCTCCAGGAGCTGAGCCGCTGTGCTCTCTGGCTGTCAGCCTGGGATCACCAAGGCAGCAGGGATCCTGAAGAGAAAAGTCAACACAACAGACAGACAAAAAACAGACAGACAGACAGAAAAAAAAAAAAAAAAAAAAAAAAAACAGGAACAGAATGTATACTTATTTGGGAAAATGGATCATGGTCAACAACAGCAAATGTGAATGCCCTTTCCTCCCTGCCCACCCATAGAAGTCAGTCTATTACTCTCCAAATTTCCAGTTAGGGATGCCTTCTAGGGCGGTCTCTCATGAGCCTCTTGGGGGCTCAGCAGGAGGGCCCTGGCATGGTCCGGCACAGTGGGCTGGCTTTGCCCGGGTCCTGCCCAGCAGAGATCATGTATCGCCTCCTGGGGCTGCGGCCCGTCCTCAAGGGGCCCAGACCCCACAATACCGCCCAGGGGTTGTCACAGGACGGCCATGGGTTCCATGCTATGCCCTGATGGGCTAAGGCCCAGATTCTGAATCTAGTCTTTCTCATTGAGGGTGGTACTCAGATGGACAAGTCACAAAAAACTCAGAGAGCATTGCCTGTCCCAGGAGCAACCTCAAGCAATGGAGCCCCAAAATCTGCAGGCAGAGGCATCAACAGGACCATCAGCTTTTTTGTTTTAAGACGACATCTTGGGCTAAGCTTATCTTTCTCAAATAGTTCAACTTCATTTTGCCAAAATCTGCCAACTTCTTCGAAAGTCAAGTGTAGGAAAAAGAATAAACACTATGCTATTGTGTCCAAACTGACCTCGCTTGGATCACTTACATCTCCATCTGCTGCTGGCATTATATAGAACCTGACCTCTACGGGCTTTTAATCATAGTTAATTTAACATGCACTTAAGGGTAAATGTCAGTTAACCCCCTGTGCCAGGCAATTTGCTGGAAAAAAGGTGTTCTCAGCGGGCTATGGACACCGGCGTTCCTGCAAATCGCACTCTGGTCTACCTGCACACAAGAGGGTTCCACCTCGCTGGAGAAGCGTACCGGCAGTCACCACTATCTGCTAAGCAGGAAGGTAGAAAGAACTGCGCAGGCTAAGGCACACCTACCAGGGCCTAACGGAGGAGGGCAGAAAACCATTCCAAAGTACATTTCTTAGACCCAGTCTCCAAAAAGCTCACTCTTTCAAGCGTGTGTACAAAAGGCGTCTATCCCTCCCACTGGGTAGATAACAGTAGACTCCCACTTTTGTGCCCAGTGCGCAAAGCCTTCTCAACAATCACTGCCTATCCTAATATCCTCGCTGCACTAAAATGTGGAATGCGAGAAATGACGGAAGGGATACGGGACCATCATGAAGCAGAGGCCATGGGTTTCAAAAAGACCGAATATTATGAAAGAAGTGCTAAGCTGGAGCTTATGTTGTCAAGGCTCCTGGAAGTGGCGCCTTTTTGCTTTACAGGGCAGATGACCCTTCCAAAAGTTCGGTCTGCTGTCCTTGCCTAAGGTGAGTTCTGGAGCTGTACCCATCTCTAGACTAAATTTGTAGACTGGGACTGTAGGAACCCACACCTGGTTAGCTAGAGGCGCGCACCCTCTACCTTCAACCTACACCCTACCTGGAGTCGCTGTACCCCTCCATTTTACACGGAAATTCAAATGTGGACACAGCAGAATCTTCTAGAAGGGGGCTAAAATGGAACTCAGGAGGCGGGGGTCGGTGTGGAAAGAGCAGATGGATTATTTTTTCCTCTCTTGGCGAATAAGGAACGCCCCCGGCCACCCCTCCTCATGGGCACCCCTCCCCACAGTGCGCATGCGCACTCAGGTAGCGGGTGGGTACTTAAGGCGCAGGCAGCTACGGCGGCTGCGGCAGTGCGTCCAACATCCGACTCCGAGGGATCTGTGGACCTCGGCGAACCAGCAGCCCGCTTTAGACTTAGCCACCACTCTTGGAACCATGGCGGCAGTAGCGGCAGCCTCGGCAGAGCTGCTTATCATTGGCTGGTACATCTTCCGCGTGCTGCTACAGGTAAGTGTGCCTGGGCTCCAGGTGGGAGAGGGACTCCCAATGCGCGTTCCCCAAGTCGATTGCGTCGCGATTGCCGCCTCCCGGATCCGTCTGGCCCCAATTGCCGCGATCCCCAATTGCCCAAGTGCCGCTGCTGGCACCACGCACCCCACCCGTTCCCTGCGCCCTCCCAGTCGCGCAGACCCTCCCCAGTGCGCCCGCGGCCGGCCGGGAACAAAGACTCAGGGCGCGGTGGGCGCCTGCCGCGGACGATCACGGAGGCTCTTAGCGACCAACGCGGTAAGAAAACCCGCTACACCCAGACAGGCTCAACCCCAGGAGGGAGGCGGGGCTCTCTGTCGCTTTGTGAAAGGACTTTACAACTCAAATAATGAAAATTTTGAGCCGCAAAAAATTACGCACTGCAGGGGAATTTTCGTAAAATAAAGCTCTTGTGGGGAGTAGGGAGAAAAAGTAAGTTAAACACTTCCTGGAGGAAAATATTTAGAAACACTTGGGCGAGGGAAGATGGTAACAAATTGGGGGGAGGGGGAGGAAGTGCCTCACAGGGTAAAAAAAGAATCAGAGAAAAATGCACGTTACAGGAAAAATAAATAAGAAAAAAAGCACATGACATAAAAATGCATTAGATAAAAGCGCATTGCAGAAAAAAAATTAGACAAAGGAGCTAATAAGAAAACCAAATTGGATAAAAGCGCTTAAAATACACACAGAAGAAAAACTCCTTCACAGAAAAACAATGGAAGGGGATAAAAACGAGCTTTTTCCTTTTTCGGAAAAGGAAAAGCGCTTTACCAAAGGGGGAAAAAAAGAGATGCAAAGAGCTTTGTGTCAAAAAGAAGCCATCAGAAGAAAGGTAAATCTTGACTCTAAAAGAACCCTTTGCAGGGAGAATTCCCTGCTAAAGGAATCCTTTGCCACAGGAATCGCATATTTCCTTCAAGGTGTTCCTGGAATGCTGCATTTACTGGGTAGGATTCGCTTTTCGAAATCCTCCAGGGACACAGCCCATTGCGAGAAGTGAGGTATACCTAAGATGTGGGTCCAATCAACTTGCCTCCATGCAGCCCTCAGCACAGTTGGAAAAGCTCCAGCTGCCCTGACTAGTGGACAAGCTGAGCCCGCGCCTGCCTCTCCAGCCTACATCGGACAGGCGGGCAGGGCCAGGGGCGGGCCGGGTGCGGGCAGGGCAGCGACACAGACACGCTGCCGGTGCTTCCCACTAACAGCAGGTCCTGGGTCTCTCACACAGGTGTTCAGGTACTCCCTGCAGAAGCTGGCGTACACGGTGTCGCGAACCGGGCGGCAGGTGCTGAGGGACCGCCGGCAGCGGGCCCCCAACTGAGGCCCCAGCCCCCAGCCCTGGGCGGCCGTGTCACCAGGTGCTCCTGTACGTCTAGGCCAGCATGGGAGCCAGAGCCGCGCAGGAATGGGGGGTCCTCCGTGCTCTCTCGCCAGAGGGGCACGTGCCAAGGTCAGTGAGGGGCCGGTAGGCCCCCCGGAGAAGCAGCACCTACAATGATGATGATACCAGACCCCTTCCAAAACCCTCTGTACCCCTCCCAATGTGGGGCGGGGCAGCGGGAGGATGGGGATGGGGGAGCAGACCCTAGAGATCTGGGCCTAGGCACTGCATTCTGATCTGGACCAAGTCGGGGACAGAACTATCCCAAGCCCCGCGGCCATGCCTGAAGGTCCCACTATGGAGATCCAATACATCACACTAGCCAGCAGAATGAACATTCTGACATCACCAGCCGAAGATCTGAATCAATGCAGAGAAGGCGCCAACTTCATGCCCATGTGGCGGGACTGGGGGGCCAGGTTGAAGGAGGAGGAGGGTGGGCTGAGAGCAGTTGAGAATAGGATTGGGCTTTTCTTGCGTCCCTTGCCTTTGGCATGTGCATTTAATTAAGCCTCACTGCCTTTGCTCCCTCAACCCCATAACCCCATGCGCCCTACCCCACCTCCTCCCAAGAAATGTGTCACTTGATTTGGACCTATTCAGCTAGTAAATAATCCCAGCTTTACTAAAACACCTTCTCCGAGACCCCACCCCCTCACTGATCTTGCTTTTCCCTGGTCTCACGCAGTTGTGGTCAATAGTGTGGTAATCGCTAATTGTACTGATTGTTTAAATGTGCATTAGTTGTGTCTCTCTCCCCCCCCCCGCCCCCCCCAGCTAGACTGTAAGCTCCTGGAGGACAGGGACCACCTCTACAAAAAATAAAAACCAGTACCTCCCCCATTTTGCACTGTCCCAGGACCCTGCGGGGTGGTGGAGGCACACCAAAAACTTGTCTGCTGTGACTTCTTTTGCAGCTTTGATGCATCACTGGGCTGATGTGCCCGTTGTAGAGTGGGCATGCTGCTTGGGGGAGGGAAGGCAACAAAACGGGAATCAATTACGCCACCCAGCTCCATCTCAACACTGTCCTGAGATAAAAGACCACATTAAAGACCACATTCCCTTCCACAAATGAGGGGTGGTTGCTTCCACTTATGATCCTGACATGTAATCACTCTGGGGAAGAAGGCAGATGTAGCCCTCAAAGTAGGGTACTGGTAACCATGGAGGAAATCTACATTTCAAAGCACAAAGCCTCACTCCAGGTCTCTAAGCAAGAGCCCTAAGAAAATGAGCATTGGGCAAGATGGGCATCAGCTTCTTAGACAAAAAGTATGTTGTTAAGTATCCTGGAGTCGGTTCAGACTCATAGTGACCCTGCACATGGTTTCCGAGGCTGCAAATGTTTATGGGAGCAAAAAGCCTCATCTTTCTCCCGCAGAACAGCTGGTAGTTTTGAACTGCCGACCTTGAGGTTAGCAGCCCATTCGTAACCACTATGCTACCAGAGTTTCTCAGACAAAAAGTATAGGGCATGAAAAAAACAAGCATAGGGCATGATTTGTGCTGTGGCTCCCCACTTACCCCTTGCTCCTTTCCTGCACTCCTCATAACCTATACCTGGGCTACAAGGGGCATCCTGCCAGGCTTTGCTACTATCCCAGATCTCTCCCCCACAGCTGCCCTCAGGGAATCCCTCTCCTGTTCACGGTCCCCATTACTAGGTTCTCTGCTTCTCCCAGCACTTGCCTCCTTATCCCTGGCCCAGGACTTTCTCCTGCTGTGTCAGGGTAGGTGGGTAGAGTCCTTAGTTCTCTATGTCCCTCTCCCCTTTCCAACTCCTCATATTGAATCTGGGCTCCTTTTACAGAGGATCAGCTGACTGCTGCACCAAATGGCCCTGCCGCCTGTTCAGCCTCATCTTTGCCTGTCACCACAAACCTCCTACCTGTTTCTGGCCACCACCAAGTAAAAGCCATAAAGCTTTTCTTGCCACTTCCTCAACTCCCTTAGTCACAATTGTCACAAACACTTCTGGAACATAAAGCATCTCACTCCCTTGATGCTTTACTACCCTAAGCCAGTCTCTTATGCTTCTCAACCCAACTGGCAACTTCTAAAGGTATCTACAACTTAAGTTCATCATCCGAGAATTATGGAGGAAAGAGACGTAGACCTCAATTCTGGTCTTGGCTTTGCAATCAAAAAGCCCAGGGAACCTGGTCCAGTTCCCCTCTAGAAAAGACCCCTACGATCCCCAAAAACCCAAACATACTAGACACATTCTGCCACTTTAAAGTGACAATCAGGGATGGGGAGGGAATGAGCAACCTGAGACACCTTTTTCCTTCCGTTGGAATGGGTGACTCCAGATGCTACCATAGTCTAAAGGTGAGGCCGTCTTCTCTCACCCAGGGTGAGTCATCCACAGGCAGTGCCTATCCCTCCTGTCTGGAGTTGAAATCTTGGCAGCCTCAAGCTGAGTCTAAGGTTTTCCACATTGAATCCACAGAGCCATGCACATTTTTCAACATGTGGGCTCAATGAAGGTTGTCCCTCCCCTGCCAGTCTGCCCTAAAGGCTCTAACTTCATGTTATGGCAAGCAGATACAACCTGCTAGAGAAGAGTGAAAGAATGCCTTCACTTACCATCCTGGGCAATGCCTAGAAGTCTGTTGCAAGCACATCTTGTTTATAATATTCTCTTCACAAACTATAGCATTTAAACATTCTGATAGAGAGCAAGGGGAGGAGTTGAAAATGACTACTGTTTTATGGCAAAGCCCTTAGTCCACAGCAGTAAATGTCCACTGACCAACGCTTCCCCCAAACTGCCTCAACCTCTGCTCATAAGACTTTGTCCCCACAAGATCAAATACAGAATAGATGAGTTGAGATCAAAATGGTTGGGGGGAGAGAGGGGACAGTATAAAGAAGGATGTTACCAGTTGAAGTTAAACCCAAAGGGTTAGGTACCATGACTTTTCTGGGTGTGGGGTGCCATGTCACAGCTACCTCCATCTGTAGAATATGTGAATTGTAATTGAAGAAAGTGATGCCTGTTCTGAGGGCAGAGTGGGGAGGCAAGTGTCTTAAACTTCAGCTATAGCAGGTTTGCTGTGAGTCATTCGTAAGACACCTATTTTCAAACTACATGCAGTTTACTTATGAGTCAAGACCCCTATAGGAGATTTCTGAATTTTCAGTTAGTTTTTCTCCCTACAGATTTAAACGTATGTGTGTGTGCAACACATGTGCGTACACACCCACACACGTACAAGACACTAGTATAACAACATTCTCTGGACAGCCTCTTCCTGGTCCCCTCTGGCTTCCTCTATATGTCCTTGAAGCAAGCCATTAATATTTTCTGCGGGAATGATTTTATTTATTCCCACCACCACCACCACCACACATACACCTGTGGCACAAAGGCCTGCAGGATTCAGAGGCCTGAGCATTCCCATAGCAGGAAGTCAAAAAGCAGGCACCACCACATGGTGCTCAGTTTATCACAATGACAAGCTGGAAATGGAATGCGTATATTTCAGACAGGAAAACAACAAGAAGACAACCAATCTCAGATTTCCAGATTCCTCTTTGAAACAACAGATTATAGATAAAATGTTAAACTGTTTTGGGCAGTAACCCTAGCAGAACCAATTTCAAATATGGAACTGACCTGGTCGCTGGAAACCAACCAGTTCCCCACCCCCAATCTTTGATCAGATCTGCTTACATTAATTAGTCTCTGATTCAAGCAAGCAAAACAAACAAGAGCTAACACTTGGCACAGGCACTTCTGCTGAACTTTTTTTTGGACTCAGCTTTGGTAATGCCGTCCAGCAGCTGACTGGATGGTTGGATCATGTCAGCCAGGGCAAACAGAAGCTGTTCTCAACACACAAATTCCCTGAAAGGAATAAAACACGATCTGAACCTATAAATAAAATCGCCACATTTCTTTCCAAGGACAGACCCCACTCTCCCAACTGAAAGTTTGGAAGGAAAGAGAAAAAGCACCTCTCCCACCCTCTTCTTTCTTTTCAGGCCAGTAGTGTGCCCGGTATTCTGTTCCTTCGGCTGCCCTTGAGGGCCCCTCCCCAGATACAGTAGAGGAAAGAAGACAGATGTCCAGACTTGATGGAAAGTTGAGTAAGAAGCGCTAGAAGCTGAGCGTCTACCCAAAGCGTAGGCCCGGGTCGGGAGATCTTTTTTCTCCCATTCCCCCACGTCCTTTCTGATTAAAATAATGCAACTTAAGTGCTGAAAACAGAGCGACAGGTCTCATAAGCAGGCATCCCTGCCATGGGCCCTCGGGCCGAAGAAAGGGTCGTCGCGCTCCTCAGAGCCGCGTTTCCAGACTATACCTGCCCTGTCCCAAAAGCAGACAACCAAGTACTGACCTTGGAGGCCAGCGGGAGAAGCCAGGAGTCGGTTTACCCGTTCTCGGACCAGGAAGGGCCCCCAAGGCCCGCCTAGGGTCAAGCTGGGCAATCCCCGGCAGGGGTAGCCCCCGGTGTATGGAAACAAAACCACGGGGAAGCCGGGCAACGCCTAAGGTGACCCCAAAGGAACAATATGGCGGCCAGGCCGCATTGAGGGCTTCTCATCCCACCTCCCACAGGCCGACGCCAATGTACCTGAGAGCCCTGCCATGGCGCCACCGCCACTGTCGCCGTCGCAGCCACTGTCAGCCTCCAACTCAGCTCGCCGCCGTCGCCGCAGGAAGCGGAGGAGACGCCCCCTTCGTCTTCTAGTCGAGCAGGCCGAGGACCCCTCCTGGAACCAGACTACCTACAGCAGGTGCCTGATTATATGACCCAAATTGGGGCAATTCTCACAAGATGTTATCCCAACATTTACCCAAACAACACTTTTAAGACTCACTATGCACTTATACGAAATTATTTATTGCTGAGGTCTTCAAACCCGAAGAATTTTAATCAGGCTCATCCTAGGCAGCTGCGAATCACGGGCCCATGGTCCTCTCATGCATATGCAGTAGATTGTGATCTTTAATCAAGGGAGGCAAAGGGGCGTGGCCTAAGCCGGGTGGTGCGTTCCCTGTGGCTCTCCTGGAGGTTCCGCGTACTCTGGGAAGATCTTCCGGAGGCTCCCACGGGCGAAAATATCTCTGGCGCAAAACTTGTGTCCTGAAGTGCATCAGGACTCCTATTGCTTTATGACTTCAGGCAAACCATTTGAAAGCATCGTGGTTGCCAAAAGAACCAACAGATCTGTGTTGGAAGAAGTGCAGCCTGAGTGCTCCTTGGAGGCCAAGATGGCCAAACTTCATGTCTCCTACTTCGGACATATTGTCAGGAGGGACCAATCGCTGGAGAAGGATATCCTGTTTGGTAGGATGGAGTGTCAGAGAAAAAGAGGAAGACCCCCAGCGAGATGAATTGACAAAGTAGCAGCATCAGTGGGCTCAAGCGTGGCAACGATAGTGAGGTTGGCCCAGGATCGGGCAGTGTTTCGTTCTGTTGTGCATACGGTCCCTAAGAGTCGGTACCAACTCGGCAGCATCTAAGAAAGAGAAGAAAGAAACTCCCTTGTGGAGTCCTGGTGTGGCGTTGTAGGATAAGCAATGAACTGCTAACCATGAGATCAGTGGTTCAAACCCACCAGCTGCTCCTCGGAAACCCTATGTAGATTTGCTAGAGTCTTAACCGACTTGACAGCACTTAACAGCAACTCGCTGGTGTGGAATCCTGGTGTGGCGCTGTAGGGTCATCGCATGGTAAATCGTTCAAACCCACCATCCTCTCCTTGGAAACCCTATACAGGGTCGCTACAATCCGAACCGACTCGATGGTACTTAGCAATAACAACAACATGAGACACTTAACAACGACATAGGGTCACTGAGTCCTGATGTGTAGAATAAGCATGGAACTGTGAACCACAAAAATCAGCGGTTTGAATCCACCAGCCACTCCTAAGGAGAAAGATGATGCTTTCTTCTCCCATAAAGATTTACAGCCTCAGAAACCCTATACAGGGTCCTCGAATCTCCACTGCACTTGTCGGGTAGCTCTGTGGTTGAGAGCTTGGTGATTGAAAACTGCATTCCTGGGGAAAGATGGAGTAATTGACTTCATAATGATTACAGCCTTGGAAACCCTCTGGTTGCTGTTGTGTGTGCTTCAGATCCATTGGTGGCAACTGGTTTTGGGTTACTCTCTTCGCTTACCCAGGTTTTTTATGGGAAATAAGTGAGTGCATTAATATAGTCACTAAGCACATTTCTTGACCACTTGCCATGTGACAAGTGCAGTGCTCAAGGCAGAAAGTAGACTAGAGGGTGACATAGGCACTGTTTCTGACCTCAAGACAGTCTAATGAGGGCTGGTGGGGTGGGGGTGGTGAAGAAGAGGAAAAGTCATCACTATGCAAAGGAAAATAATCACTATGCAAGGGTATGTCAAAAAGTACTGCTGCAAAATCATAGAAACCTTTATTAAAGATACCAAAACTGTGAAGCTATTTTTTTCTTGCTAAAACCTCCATCTAGGTCTATACACTTCTGAAGGTGGTGTTTCCATCTCTCTAACCCCACCTTGAAGAATTCTGTGCTCTTCAATTTATACCATTTCACAACAGCAGTTTTCACATCCTTGAGGGATTCAAATCGTGTTCCTTTGAAATGTTCTTTGAATTTGGGTAATAGAAATCTGAAGGGACAAGCTCAGGGATATAGAGTGGATGGGATAAGGTTTCCCTTGCTGCCCTCAGAGAATGTTTTTAAGTCCATGCTTGTAATGGAAAAAAATGCCTCCAAGCAAATTTACCGGCCTTTTTCTCACCAATGCAGTTTTCCACTTTCTTAAAAATTCATAATAAGTCCTATGATCATCCTGTGTCCAAGAAAATCTATCAAGATTGCCCTTTTGGGACTCCGAAAAAGCAGTTTCCATAATATTCTGAGTTGACCTCTGCCTTGAATTTAACTGGCCTAGCAATCCCCTTGGAAGCCACTGTTTTGATTGCACCTTTCTTTTTCTTTGAAGGCACCCTAACATGACTAAGACAAGAGTGTTACTGAGAAAACTTGTCTGTAAATTTGCAGTGACATGCTTAAACACATTTGGTATAAACTCATGCATGTATGAACTGGAACCCTAGTAACAATATTTTATTACCCTCATATGCATTTAATCAAATCAGTATATAAATAAGACTCTTAAGAAGAAGTGCTATGGGAGAAAATTTAAGAGTGTTATGAGAAATTAACAGGATTAATGTAGGGTGAAGGGGACAGTACTGGCTCCGTGATAAGAATTTCTATCTTCTATGCAGGAGTCCTGGTTAGGCACTGTATGATAAGCCTTGGAAACCTTCCCTATACAGGATCTCTATGAATCTGAACAGAGTCAGTGATCCTGACAGCACTTAACAACAGCAATGTGGGGGACCTGGATTCAATTCCTAGTCAAGCAGTTGTTGTTGTTATGTGCTGTTGAGTTGGTTCCGACTCATAGCGACCCTGTATAGGTGTTTCCAAGGAGTTGCTGGTGAATTTGAACTGCCAACCTTGCAGTTCACACCAACTTTGTGGTCCAATGCATTATCCCACAGCGCCACCCCAGGACTCAAGTCAAGCAGTTAATGAGACTTAACTGAAAGGTTGGCGATTCAAACCCACCAGACAGGTTTCAGAAGACAGGCCTAATCAGTTTCTGAAAGGTCACAGCTTTGAAAACCTTATGGAACAGTTCTCTGCATATGTGGGGTACGTATGAGTTAAAATAGACTCAGTGGCAAATAACAACAATGCTGGAGACCCAGGTTCAAGTCCCAGCCAATGTAGCTCATGCTCTGCCACTCCACGCCTGCCACTGGAGGCTTGTGTGTAGCTATGATGCTTGTTGTTGTTGTTGTTATGTGCCGTGGAGTCGGAACCGACTCATAGCGACCCTGTACAGGGTTTCCGAGGGTGTAAATCTTTACGGGAGTAGAAAGCCTCATCTTTCTCCCGCGGAGCAGCTGGTAGTTTCGAACTGCTGACCTTGCGGTTCACAGCCCGAGTCGTAACCACTACGCTACCAGAGCCCATGATGCTTAACAGGTGTTATTTTATTTTATTTTAAACTTTATTGTGAATTGACTGAAGGTGTATAGACAAGATCATCACCTTTACATTCAACAAATTATATACTTTGTTTCATCTCAAAGATTAGAATCTCCTCCTTGCAGCAAGTTATCCTACTTCGTCCCTGTGGTTTCTCATTTGCATCTTATATCTCACAAATGAACAAAGCAAAAATATTTGATGTACACATGTAAAACAAGAAAATCCTCAACTTATCTGTCTCTCCACCTCTGTCTGCCACCACCTCTGCTGTTGCTCCTTTTGTAAGTAGGATCTCAGCTCCACTCATGCTCTTCCTTTTTGATGTCCCTGGGGTCCTCTGTTCCTGAAATGAAAGATTAACTACTTCCCCCTTTTATTTAAGCATCTTCTACAATTACAGTTGTGGCAATCACAATCCTGACAACAATTACTCACAAGTGAGTCATAAAATCCTATCACCATCACCCCCATCCCCTTTCATTAGATTCATCGGGAAAAGAGAAAAACTATTCGGTGGGGATTCTACCTTAACCCACTCATTCTGAAACTAAACACACTCATGAAATCTTGTAAGCAGCCACTTCATGCCTTTTTAGTCCCCCCGACCCACCTTTTTTTATATCCACTGTCTAAATTGCTCATCCCTATCAACCTAGTGGAGTCCTGGTGTGGCTCTGTGGGTTAATGCACTGGACTGCAAAGTTAGTTTGAACTGCAAGGTCAGCAGTTCAAGTTCACCAGCTGCTCCTTGGAAACCCTATGCAGGGTCGCTATGGGTCGGAACCGACTCGAGAGCACATAACAACAACAACAATTAACCCAGTGCACTGAAGAAACAATCTTGTTTCTTAATAGGAAGAATCCTTCCCATTCCAGTTGGAATTTTGAGCAACTGCATCCATAAGCAAAAGTTCAGGCCAAACGGATTTTAGGAGAGCTTCCAGACTAAGATAGATTAGGAAAAAAGCCTGACAACTGCTTCTGAAAATCAGCCAATGAAAACCCTAAGGATTACAACAGTTCAAATCCCATTATACCAGGAGTCAGGACTGATTCAATGGCAGCCAATAACAATGTAGAGTGAGGACTCCCTGATGCTGCCCACACTTAATACGCTCAGCTAATAGCCAGGAAGTTGGAAGTTCAAGTTCATCTAGAAATGCCTTGGAAAAAAGGCCTGGCAATCTATGAAAAACCAGTCCTTGAACACTCAATGGAGCACAGTTCTCTGACACATATGAAGTGACCGTGTATAGGAATTGATTGATTCAACAGCAACTGATTTGGTTTTGGTTACTGTAGAGCAAAGGAAGGAGCTCCTTGGGAAGAAAGCATTTCGGCTGAGAGACCAATGAGAGAACTCAGAGCTGTGCAGGTACAAGACGAGGGGAAAGAGTGAAGGGGAAAACAATTCTAGGTAGAAAGTCCCAGATGTGAAGGTGGGAAAGGGCAGAGTGAGGGTAAGACGTGGACAGGGAGTAGGCAGGGAGCACTATGGATTTGGTATCAATTTGATAGTGATAATGATGACACATCATTTTCATCAGATTTAGATTCCTAAAGGGTCGCCCTGGTTGCATAGCTTGGAATGCACTTGGGAGTAGTGTGGAAAGAGAGAGTTAGAGGCTGTTGCTGTTTTCCAGCCACAAAACAGTGGTGACTCAGACAGGATAATGACTGGAGGAGGGTAAGAAGTAAAGGAGG